CTGAGCTATCTCTCCAGCCCGTTTCCTTGATAATAACCATTCTGACTAGGCTGAGCTGGCCTCTCATGGCCATTTTAACCTGCATTTTCCTGGTGGCTAAGGATGTTGAACACTTCTTAAACTATTTAGTGGCCATTTGCGTTTCTTTTGAGAAGTGTCTGTTCAGTTCATTAGCCCATATGTTGGTTTGATGGATGCTTGAGTTCTTTGTGGGGTTTTTTACCTCCTATCACTCCCCTGTCTGACGTCTCCCATTCTGCAGCTGTCTCTCCACGCTGCTGATTCCCTTTGCTCTGCAGCTTTCTAATTTCACATTATCCCACTTATCAATTCTTGGGATTATTTCCTGTGTTATTGGAGTCCTCCGCAGAAAAGTTTTGCCTATGCCTGTATCATGAAGTGTTTTACTTACTTCCCTCTAGCAGTTTCAGAGTTTCAGGTCTTACATTGAGGGCTTTGATCCATTTTTTGCATGGAGTTTTGTGCACTGGCGAATATGAACGTAGCTTCCTTCTTCTATATGTGGAAATCTGGTTTTCCAGCAGTATCTGTTTAAAAGGTTGTTTTTTGAGCTGGAGAGATGGCTCAGTGGTTAAGAGCACTGACTGCACTTGCAGAGGACCCAACACTCACATGGTGCCTAACAATCATCTAGAACTCCAATGCACTTCCACACATTCAGGCAAAACACTCATACACATAAAATAAGAATAAATCATTCATTTAAAAGGCTGTCTTTTCTCTGATGCATGTTTTTGACAGATTTGTCAAAAATGATGATTGCACTTGACTCACATCTTTTTAAAATTTGTTACAAAGAAATCTTGTCGAAAGACACTAAGATTTTAAGTGGTATGGTGATTCAGACCTGTTAACACAAGAGTAGGGAGGCTGAAGCAGGAGAATCTCTGAACATTAGCCTGTGCTGCACAGTGAGACCCTGTCTCAAAAATATGTGGGTATGGGGGTACACACCTTTAATCTCAAACTCAGGAAGCAGAAGCAGGTAGATCTCTGTGAGACTGAGGCCAGCCTGCTCTATATTTCCAGTTCCAGGCCAGTTGGGGCTACAGGTAGACCCTGTCGGGAAAAAAAAAAAAAAAAGAGTAAAACCAAACAAACAAACAAACTAGAAAGATACCCATATTGATTAGCACATGCTGATATGATGTTTTCAGTGGCAAGTGATGGAATTAAACCCCTTTCCCATACTCAATGACCATTTATATTTCTTTTTCAAATTAGCACATTTATGCGATTTCTTTTTCTATTTTAGATATTTTTATTTTTCTATTGATTGATAAGAGAACTTTACTCAAGATTATAGTTGTGAACTCTTTGCTGTCACATTCTTCTTAAATTATTTATTTATTTATTTCCTGGGACATGACATATGTGCCATAGTGTACATGTGGAGGTCAGAGGACAACTTTCTGGAGTCAGTTACTCCTTCTACCATGTGGGTCCTGGGGATTGAACTCAGGTCATCAGCAAGTACCTTTGTCCCCTGACACATCTAACAGGTCCTGCTTTCTCATTCTTAAATCCCCCCACAATGCATCTCTCTGCCTGTCTCTTAGTGCAGTAAGTTTCATCCTCAGGGATTCAAATTAGTTGGCTTTCTCCTTTTGATCTTATGCTGGAAGAGGCTAATCCTCCGCAGTGCCAAAGATGTTCTGTATTTTCTTAGGACATTGATTTCTTTTATATTTCAACTTTTAATTCATCTAAAGGTCTATTTTGGGCCATGATAAATGATAGGGATTCTTTTCCAAACAATGAGCCAGCAGTTTCAACACCAGCCGTTGGATAATACATCCTTTCTGTCTCCCCTTTAGTATATACTAAATTCCACATCCATTAGTCTGCTACTGCTCTGTCTATTTGTACCTTAGATATTTTGGTAGACTGCTGTGCCCAATCTAGATGAGTGCCGAACCTTCCTAATATGCTTTAATATCAAAGAAACCAGGTTTGTATCATTTTGTAAAAAGGAAGAGCTGTGAATGTTTATGTACATGTGTGTATTAATTGTGGAGGATGAGCAGAGGGGTATGTGTGCCAATCTGTGCACATGAGTGTGCATTCCAGTGTGTGGTTTTTACAGGAGGTAGGTTGATGGTGAAGTGCCTTTGAATGACTGAGATAGTCTGTAGAGGTGTTTGCTTAGTGCCTGGAGCAGAGCGTCAGGGAAAGTCTGGAGAAATAAAAGGAGAGCTACAGACTCTCAGACTCTCAAAGGAGATCGACGCTCACACTTACAAAGCTCATAGATTGAAGCAAGCAGAAAGGAAAGCTGGCACAGACAGATCTCAGTTATTTTTAGATGCTAGCAGCAACTGCACTGCAAGGTCCCCTAGGCCTAAGAACCATTTCCCAGCTCCGGGGAAATCACCAGAGGTACCACTGTCAGAAAGTATCCCTTAAAGCAGGTCTCTCCAACCCTCAGGTCTGGGTGCAGTGCCAGCTGCCATCAGTGGACTTGTGTTTCCATGGCTGGAAAGGGACCCCTGGGCTCTGCCACAGGCCTTCTATTTCAGGGCCCTATAATGCCAGAAGTAAATGAGTGTCAGTATCTGATGCCCCCAGAGCAGACTGTGCACTGCTGCACAGCAAGGACCTATCTCCACCTAAAGCTGTCTCTTGTACACAAATACACACACACACACACACACACACACACACACACACATCAGTGGCTTGGGGCCCCCTTCTCTAGAAAGCAGGGCATTCCTCTCTTAAGGACCTCTTGTCTCAGAGGGACCTCAGTGCTACCTGCAGAAAAGCAAACTGGTAAATCTAAGAGTGAGCATGCAGGCCTATAGGAGCCACGAGGAGGGATGGTCCAAGACCTGAGTTAGCTTTAACTGTCAACTTGACACAGCCTAGAATCTGAGAGGAAAGCCTTGACAAAAGAACTTCTTAGATCAAACTGGCTGGTGGGAGTTTGTCTTGATGTAGGAGGGCCCAGCTCACTGTAGACAGTACCATCCCTAGACAGGTAGGCCTGGACCAAATAAGAAAGTCAGCTAAGCTGGAAGTGGTAGTGCATGCCTTTAATCCCAGCACTCAGGAAGCAGAGGTAGGTGGATCTCTGGGAGTTCAAGGCCAGCCTGGTCTACATAGTGAGTTCCAGGCCAGCTGGGGCTACAGGGAGACCCTGCCTCAAAAAGACCAAAAAGAAAAAAGAAAGTCAGCTAAGTGTAAGCCCATGACAGAACCAGCAAGCAGCATTCCTGCTTCGAATTCCTACCTTAAATTTCTGCCCTGACTTCCCTCCTTGATGTACTTTTTTGTTTGTGTCCTGAATATTGCCCTGGTGATGCTCAGGCTGGAGAAGAGCATTTCTCTGTCACCACTAAGGTAGTCCCTAGACATGGTTATTGCAGTTCATCTTCTATATGAAGGGGATGTATCCAAGTTGCTCTGTACCCCATACCCAGATGACCCAGGGACCCACCTCCCCACTCACCTCACCCCCATTCTAGGTGCTCTTTTCTACTCCACCTCCAAAGAGAGGTGGAACACCACGGAAGACAGGGCGGGGGAGGGTTACAAGAAGTCGCATATGCCCTGCCTTCCCCTACCTGGCCCTTGTTCCTGTTTTTCCCTTAACTAAGTTTAATATAGAAACTAAGAAGACAAAAGTTCCTTTGAGCCAGGTGTGGTGGCTCATGCCAGTAATCCCAGAGCCAGGGAGGCTGAGGAAGGCAGAAGTACAAGGCTAGCCTGGACTACATAGGGAAACCTTGTCTCAAAACCATGTACAGACAAATGAAAAGAAAAGGCTCTTTGGCTTAGGGCTGGAGTGATGACTCAGTGGTTAAGAACACTTGCTGGTCTTACAGAGGACCTAGGTTCAGTTCCCTGTACCCCCAGACTCACAACTGTCTGTGACTCCAGTTCTAGGGGATCGGGTCCCTCTTCTGGCCTCCAAGGGCACTGCATACATATGGTACACATATATGCAGCTTGTATACATAAAATGAAAATAAATAAAACATTTTTAATGGTTCTTTGTCTTGACAGACCAGACGTAGGGAGGACTGGTAGGCAGAAGGTTCTTGATTCCCACCCCCACTCCCTGGGATCCCTCCTCTGATACCTTGGGTTTAGGGGACAGCCTAGGAAATTAGAGGAGGGAAGATGGAGTGCTATCTTGCTGGGTCCTGTGATGGGTAGTATTGATTGTCAACTTGACAGGATGTACCTAGAAGACAAACCTCTGAACAAGTCTGGAACTGGGTTTCTAGCTTGAGTTAACTGAGCTGGCATGCTCTATAGTTTTTGTCAGCTTGACACTGGCTAGAGTCACCTAGAAGAGGGAGTCTCATTTGAAGAACTGCCTCCATCAGCTTAGCCCCTGACCATGTCTGTGGGGTATTTTCTTAATTACAAACTGATGTGAAAGGGCATAGCCCACTGTGGGGGATACCATCCCTTAGGCAGGTCAGCCAGGGCTGTATAAGGAAGGTAACTGAGCAAGCCAGGGGGAGCAAACCAGGGTGCGGGGGCGTTGCTCCATGGTCTCTGCTTCAGTTCCTACCTCCAGGTTCCTGCCTTGAGCTCCTGCCCTGACTTTCTTGGATGATGGACTGCAAGCTGTAAGTCAAATGAACTCTTTCTTCCCCAAGTTGTTTTTGGTCATGGTGTTTATTACAGCAACAACAACAAAAAAACTAGGACAGGTGGAGAGACCCACCCTAAGTGCAGGCAGCACCATTCCATGGTCTGGGGTCCTGGATCAATTAACAAGGAGAAAGCGACCTCAGCACCAGCGCTCATCTCTCTCTGCTACCTGACTGAGGACTGCCTCACGCTCCTGCCACCGTGCCTTTCCTGCTGTGATGGACCGTGCCCACCAACAGCGAACCAGAATAAAGTCTTCCTTCCTTAAGTTGCTTTTGTCACATATTCTGTCTTAGCAATGAGAATAGTAGCTAACACAGGGGCAGGCAAGGATTGGCGTTTTCCACGTGGCTCTGGCCCCCTTCCATCTTCTTCCAGGACCGGCTGGGATGAGGTGGGAGGAGGAACTGGAAAAGGTGAAGAGGTGCTTGACACTCGGGGGCGGTCCCCAGCGAGAATGCGCCACCCGGCCGCCTCGCCCCGCCTCCCTAGCTTCTGGGGCCTCCGCCACCCCTGGCACTAGCCGCCTTTCCTGAACCGAAGCGCAGTGCGCAGGTAAGGTCAGGGGACCAGCGCCGCCGCGAGGGAGGGAGCAGCGGGCTGAGGGAGGCTGGGAGCCTGGAGGGAAAGACCTCGAAAAGGGTCGCAGGCAGGTACCAAAAACCGGGATCTGGACACTGTCACTGCGTGGGGAGAGGACACCGGCTCCCCCAGCGCCCCACGACCTGCAGATGCGCCGGGCGCGTCCACACCCGCGGCCGGGTGGAGACGTGATCCAGAAGAGGTCCCTACCCAGATCCCAGGGCGCTGGACGCCAGGGCTTGACAGCTGTCTGCTTTTCTTCCCATGGAGCTGAAGACACCCCACGGATCTTTAGCGGTGACTGCAGCCACCAGCAACACACCAGTGCGAACCGGCAGTGCTGGTGTGCTTTGCAGGGCAGCCCAGCTCCGAGCTCACGAACCATCTTTTCTAACAGGAAGATTTGTTCTGCCGGGTGCTGTTCACAGGTGGAGAAACTGTACAGAGGAAAAAGAAAAAGAAAATATAAGCGGACAGAAAGACAGAGATAGAGAGACAGACAGAAACACACACATATGCTTTCGTGATTTTATTTTCGAAATTGTGCTGGGTTTAAAGTTTGAACGTATGGCTTCCCCCAGACTTACATTTTGGGGCGGGGAGCCTGCAATTGAAGTTCTAGTCTCTTTTACTCTATGAAGCTCTGATTTGAGCTCACTGTGCGCCCCACCCCCCAATTCAATTTAGAGGACATGAAGTGTGTTTGATCTTACTGAATCCAAATTTGTTTTTAAACTTCTGAAGTATTGGGCCGTATACACTGTCATTCTGTATTCTCCCCCAGCAGCTGGGGGGAAAGATGTTCACCGTGATGACCCGTCAGCCATGTGAACAAGCAGGTAAGTGATGCCACTCAGCCGGCAGCAAGTTTGGCTTTGTCCCATCCTGGAAGAACCCCGGCTTTGGTTCACAGTTTTCCATCCCTGTCTCCTGTGAATGACGGCTTAACCTCATTGTTCCAAGACTCTGTGGCTCAGCCAAGCTTTGCCCCTGGCATTCCTTAGATAAAAGTAGTGCTTTTCGCCAAAGCCATAAGAAACAAGGACTAACATGCATGTTTTGCTTAAATGGTTTTTCCGGTTTGTATAATCCATTAATTTGGCTCTTGTGGTTTCCCTTACCTAGCCAGCGTGTGTAAGGTTTGTGTTAGTCTATTGTTGACCTGGGGATGAATCCTGACATAGTTGAATCCTTCCTGTATTTCTGTCCAAACATTCTTACTGGCATAGTGCCTGCTACACCCTCTAGCCCCACTGGGGACCAGTGTTATGTTGCACCCAGAACTCTCTCTCTCAGAACTCTCTCTTTCTCTCTCTCTCTCTCTCTCTCTCTCCCTCCCTCCCTCCCTCCATTAACCATCACAGCAGCCTGTAAAATATAACTTGAGAGCTACCAAAAAGGCTAATGTTAAGACAATTAATTGTGACTCTCTTGAGAGCCCTTACCTACACTTCTCTCTCTCTCTCTCTCTCTCTCTCTCTCTCTCTCTCTCTCTCCCAAGCTTGCTGTGCCTGTCTCCCCAACTCTTTCTCTGAGCTGTTCATGCTGTGATCAATTCAGTAGGCTCTCAGCTCTCCACACTTAGGCAGGCACCTGCAATTAGCAATGTTTGCCCAGCCCTAACTACTGCATGGCTCTGGGCTGTGTTTCTTACATGGATGAGACCTAACCTTGTCTGTTTTGCTTTGTAATAAGCTTTTTTTGCTGGGGTAAGTGTTTGCTTAAGGTAATCATAGCTTTTCTCTTGGAAAGTGCTGAAGCCCAGGAGATTTAGGAGGTCAGCCCCGGGGGCGGTGGTCAGGAAAGTGCTTATATATCACCCCCAACTCCCTGTGAAAAGATGTTCCTTAGCCGTGGCCTAAATTGCTGATCATTGACTCCCAAAAGGATATGAGTTTAGGACATAAAGACCAAGTTATATGAAATATTTTGGAAAGGGAAATCATACTTAAAGAGATGGTTTGCATGGAGTTGCATGCCCCCCCCCACCAAAACAAAAGTAGTTTGAAACTTTATCACACATGCTGTAACATCCCACATACAGGCCAATCTGTCACATTCCTTCCTGAGGAGGAGCTAACTGCAGATTAAGTCTCTACCAGGTCTTGGGGAAAGAAAATCCCTTAGCCTCTACTACAGACACTGATGTGGTTTGAAAGTGAGTGTGTTTGCCTCTGTGGATTCGCTGTTTCCTGACTGGTGGACTTTTATTTAGAAGTACAGAGGAGTGATGCAGGAGCCCTTCAGATCCTCCAAAGGCTAACTCTACAGGGTTCGGCTTTCCCCCAGGCTGATAGATGCCTCTGTAATGAGGAACTTGTGCATATGTCACTTTTCATACCAGGGCTAATTCACAATGGGGTGGATTCCCAGAAGTGAAGTTTGGGGTCAGGTATGCTTCTTTGAGTTTTGGAAGAAGGTGTTCGGTGACCATCTTCGACATCAGGAAGTGTCTGTGACTATGTATATGGATAGGGTAGAAGGAATTGAGTCCCATGTGGCTCTGCTTTCCAAGCAATGAATGAAGAGATGCAATTGGATCTCGGGGCTGTGTATAATTTGATTAAGGTGGTACATACATGCCTTTGTTTTCTTCCAGGAAAATGTCTCCTAGAAATAAAGAGGAAGTCGAGCATAGGTTGCAATGATCTAAGGGGGAATGTTCTGGAATAGGGCAGGATGCACCCACAGCTGTTGAAGAAATGTAATACTAGAAATGAGCTATAGTGTTCTCACACTGTTTGGCAGCCACAAGGCCACTGAACACCTGAAATGTGACTTAAACAGCCACTTTGTAAGAGAGACATTGGTATCCTCTGATCTAATTTTAGTGTCATATTCCAGCCATTGATACCATCAATAGTTATACCTCAGTAGTACCACCAAGATCATTATTTAGTCAATATTTTGTGGCTGGTTGGTTAGTTGGTTGATTTTTCCAAAAAACAGGGTCTCATGTAGTTGAGGCTGACTTTGAACTCTCTGTGTAGCTGAGGCTGGCCTTTAACTCCTGAATTTTCTACCTCTCCCTTTTGAAATGCTATATTACAGGCATGTACCATCAAGCATAGCTTTAAAATTTTAATTAGCTGGCCTTTTAAAATTAACTAGGTTTTATCTCTTATAAATTATATATAATTTATACAGAGAGAAATGGATAGATCTTAAGGTATACCCTCAAATTGCGTATTTGTGCCTTCTGAAAATATATTTTAGGATTGTGTGTGCAATTTTTTTTGTTTCTTTTTGCTTTGGAAGAATGCAATTCTTTTTTAAAGCTTTATTTATTATGTGTGTGTATGTGTGCCTATGTGAGTTTGCCCTTAGAGGTCAGAGGGCATCGGATCCCCTGGAGCAATTGTCACCCACTTGATATGGGTGCTGGAAACCGAACCCAGGTCCTCTGCAAGAACAGCGAGCAGCCTTAACTGCTAAACCATCTCTCTAGCCCCTGTGTATGTGATTCTTAAGAACTGCTTTTCAAAAGGGAGCTTGTGCCTAAGAAGCTGTTTTCCAATTTGATTTTCCAATTTGTCCCCAAAGGACTTTGAAAGGCTTGGTGATTTTTTTACAAATGCAGGTACCACAAACCCCAAATCCTGTGAACTCAGGCTTCTGTCACCTCCCTTTCCAGGTGAAGCTGTGCCCCGAGCCTTCAGGCTACCATTGTTTTCATTTGTGCTACCTGCTCGCTTTACAGTTTCATATTAAGTGAAATAATTTCTATTTGCTAATTCCCATGCAGTTCTAACTTCTTTCACGTCACTGTGATTAAATGAAATATTGTATCATGTTTTAATAGAAAGATCTGGATTTTAGTTTGCATTTAAAATTTTGTTTTACATTTACTTATTTGTGCATGTGTGTGTGTACATGCATACACATGAACATGCCGTGGCACGTGTGTGGATGTCAGAGTTTGGGAGTATGTTCTCTCCTTCTACTATGTGAGTTCCAGGGATTGAATTCAAGTCCTTAGGCTTAACCACAAGTGCCTTTACCTACTGAGCCATCTTGCCGGCCCCGATCTGCATTTTTAAAAATGTTGCTGTAAATATCTCAGAGATGACTAGTAATTTGCATAATATACTCAGAAATACCAGGAAGTTATCATGCATGCCTGCAAACACTGTTTTCGTCTCCAATTTGAGAGAAGGAATAAATAGATATTGAATTCCAGCTACTGCCCCACCCTAAAATTGTGCATCGAGCAAATACCATCAAGGATGTGGGGAAAATGAACTTTTATTCACCGCTGGTGGGACTGTAAACTAGTGCAGCCACTATGGAAATCAGTATGGAAGTTTTCTAAAAGTCTAATAATAGAGCCACCATATGACCCAGCTAAACCACTTCAGGGTATATACCTGAAGGACTCTAGGCATATCACAGAGATAATTTTCACATCCATATTTATTGCAGCATAATTCTCAATAGCCAAGGTGTGGATTCAGCCTAGGTGCCCATCAGCAGATGAGGAAATAGTAATAGATAAAGAAACCATGGGGACTGGAGAGGTGGCTCAGCAGTTAAGAGGACTGACTGCTCTTGCAGATGACGTGGGTTCAATTCCCAGCACCTACATGGTGGCTAACAACCATCTGTGACTCCAGTTCCAGGGAATTCGATGCCCTCTTCTGACCTCCACAGGCATTGCATGACATGGGTGCACTTACACATATGGAGGCAATACACTCATACATATAAAGTAAAAATAATAAATAAAATTTTTTTATAAAAAAGAAAACATAGCATAGATATAGGAGGTGTCTAAATATGATTAAGATGTATGAAATGCACAAAATGTAATAAAAATATATTTTTTAAAAGAAAATATGGCATAGACACACAACTGAGTTGTATCCTGCCATAAAGAATGAAATCACGACATTTGTGGGAAAATAGATGAAGCTGGGGATCATGTTAAGCCAAATAAGCCAGACTCTAAAAGACAGATGTCATATCATCTCTCACTTATGAAATCTATGTGTAACTCTGTTCCCCTTATGCATCTTCTGGATCATTCCACTGCAGGCTTCAGGGTCCTGTCCCGGACTCCAGCCATCATCACCTTGGTGGTCTTGCTTGTGAGCATAGTGGTGCTTGTGACTCTCACACTCATCCAGATCCACCACCCACAGGTCCTCTCTCCAGGACTGAAGGTAAGTGGGAAAACATTGGGAACTGGCTACAACATCAGTTATCCTAAAACCACAACTTAGAGAAATTTCTCCCCACCTCCAGCTGGAGAAAGTATCATGAGACCCAAGGTCTGGGGGTACTGGGTTTGTGATGCTTGGGATACAGATTGAGGGGTGATACTTTCTCTAAGGACTTGGTAACCTTGCTTTGACTTTGTACTGTCAAAGACAGTTGCAAGACAAAAGTTGCAGCCCAGAATTGCAGGTGCCTACACAGACTTGCTCATTCACACAGTTCCCATTCTCACAAGTGTGATGATTCCTGGGACCATGCAGCCTGATCATGGGTGAATACCAGGAGATACGGTGCCTTTTCTCTAGAGAGTTGAGAAATCTTCTTGTGCTGTTTGTGCTGTTTCTCTTGAGTCTAGGATACCACACAAGCATGACCCTTTCAATCTCATCCCTGCAAAACCACTAAGGACCTTACACATAGGTCCAGTGGTCAGTCTGTCCCCAAATGAATTTTTGCTTGATTTCTGGCCTTCAAAATGAGAAGATAAATGGTGGTTCCACGGGGGGCTGCCAGCTGAATAGTGGAGATTCACTGTGTCCTTCAGTCATTTTTGGTAGGGGTCAGCAAATGTTTTCTGTAGCACACCAAAGGCCACTTAGATGCTCTGCTGCTTGTTGTCCTTGGGTTTGGGGCTCATTAAAAATGTATAAAGTCTTCTTAGCCAGAGGAGGCTCCATTAAGGGGCCAAGTAATTCGGCTGTGTTATTTGAATCTCATTTAACACTTATACTTGACCTCCGTGGGTAGGTTTCATCTGATATTCTGAGACTCTTTTCTGAAGGGTTAGTGTAAAATCCTTCAGTTGCAGTATTGGTTCTTTGATGGCATAATTTCCTTAAAAATCTCAGTCCTGGGGGCTGGAGAGATGGCTCAGTAGTTAAGAGAGTATCTGCTCTTCCAGAGGACAGGAGTTCAGTTTCCAGCACCCATGTCAGGTGGCTCACATGCACCTGTAACTCCAGCTCCAGGGGATCTGACACCCTCATCTGGCCTCTGCAAGCACCTGCACTCATGTGCACATAACCGCACACAGACACACACACATACACACAATAAAAAATAAATTAAAATATTTTTTAAATAATCTCATCTTTTATGAAGAGTATGAAGAAAAAAACCGTAAATCTATGCAATTGTCCAGTGATGAAAGTGAAAGGAAAATAAATGATCTGATTTGAGACATAGACTAAGGAGAGAGAAGCTGTCTCTGTGTTCCCGCCACTGCATTTCTCTATGAACTGTGCAGTCAGGACTGTAGCTAAGATTCATACTTTGTCTTGACACAGTATGTGCTTCTGTTTGGTTTAATGAGCATTTTCCCCCCTATTTGTCTCATTTAACTCTTTCACCAACTGCAGAAGGTGGGCAGTGTGACCACCATGACCCCATTTTGCAGATGAGGAAATAGAGATTTGACTAATGAGTACCGAAACTGAAAACTAATGGGTATAGAACTGAAACTCCAGCCCTTGCTTCCCAAGACCAGACTCTCTTCCCTGACCTCCTACTTCCCCTAACCCTGAGTTCTAAATGGAGGACTCAGTCTTGGATAGGAGCACAGGGAGCAAGGTAGGGAGTGAGGAGGAAGGTGCTGATGCAGGGCATTTTGTTAAATTGGGGGGTGGGCAGTAAAGCTGGAACCACCCTTAGAATCCTGTCACTACTGGAGCCTCTGTTCTGGTCCCCATGTTCCAGAAGAACCAACTCTAACTGCTTCTAGCTCATCTCTTTCCATAGGACAAGGAAACAAGCCTACCCTGAGGCCGTACTCCCCTAGAATACCCTCTGACACCTGGCTTCTCAGAATGGTCTCTGTGCGTTACCTCCAGAGAGTGTATCTTACCCTTGGTCTGAGAGGTGGCCAAAAGGTAGCTGCTTACAGGGGTTGTACACAGAGCATAGATACAGGACCATGACTGGTCCCATAACATTATAATGGAACTGCAAACTTCCTGACACCTGGTGACACTGTGCCCTTGTAATGTCACAGAGCAATGTGGCTCGTGACTCTAGTGTTTGGTGATACTGGTACCAACAAGCCTACTATGCTGACACCTATGTACAAGGATGGCACAGACAATAGTGTAGATGCTTGTTAACAGATGACTGTGTTGCTGGTGTGTGTATTTACACTCTATACTTACTATAGAATGTGCTCATTAGTATTTAATAAACAGGGCTGGCATGGAGACCCATATTTATAATCACGATACTTGGAAGCTGAGGCTGGCCTGGGCTACATCCTGTCTGAGAGAGAAAGAAAGAGTTTTCTATCCATTCAGAAACCTTGCTCTCAGGCTCTGGCCACACTTGCAGGGCACAGGAAGTGGCCTGGCTCAGATGGTCTGTTCTGCTTGAGTGAGTGGATCAAATGTGAGGCAACAGATGCTCTGAGCCAATTGAACCTGGAGTAGATGACAGCCTGGGCAAGACGGAGTTCCACACACAGCTTTGCTTAGGATAATGAGAGACCTCTGTTCTTTGGTTTTACAGAGTATGCCAGGGGCAGGCAAGAGTGAGGCTGAATGATTGAGAGGGCTTCTTAACTGTCCGTAATGTTTATGCTTTCGTGCCATGGGTCCTATTTTGCCTGTGTGCAGCTAACAGTGGCTTATGAGGGGCTAGCTTTCCCTGTGCCTAGAATGTTTGTTACTCTCTTGAAAGGGTATGACACCTGCTCTTAAATTTAGCTTTGACTTGTTTGACTTCAGCTGATGCAAGTTTAAGAGCAGAACTATAAAAACTCAGTGGAGGGTCAGAAATATCCCCAGTCCCTTGTGTTTCTGGTCTGACTTGCTCCACAAGCTTGAAGAGTAAACATAATGTCATCACTTCTATTTCTCACTCAGGCCCCCACCTGTTTTACTACCATAAACTTCAAAATCTCCCTCTAGAAGCTTCTCCCACCCTCCCCAGCATAACCATCCAAGCACTTTGGGGCCTCTCTTTCTCCCCAACATCCCGGTGCCATTTTCTCTTGTAGCCACATGATGTCACTATTGAAAATGGGTCCTGTGTAGGCTTAATTTTTCAGGGAAGAACTTTCCCTCTGTGACCTGCTCAGGCCACGTGTTGGGTAGAAACTCACAGGCTGGCTAGTTCACATGTCCGTGCTCTGCTCTTACTTTTAATCCCTGAGCCAGGCTGGATGGAAATTATTCCCTTCCAGCCCTCATGAAACCTTGCTTAGTAGCCTGGATTTCTGGCACAATGTAAACCAGGTTCTGCCTCTTAGACAGCAAGAACTGGATACTTCTAGAAAGCCCTGGGTTCCTTATAGAAGTTGGTCTATCCCTCTGCCCCTGCCAGTTCTGCATATTCCTTGGATATGGTTTGGAGGGGCCTCCTTTCCAAACAGAGGTGATCTACAGCACCATATTAGGCCTCTATTACTGCACAGCCGTGCCACCAAACTTGGTTTCTTGAAATTTGGTGAAAGCCTAGGAGCTCTGAGAACAGGTCTGAACATTAGTGAGGCTGGGCTTAATCTCACATGTTTTCCATGTAACAAAGAAGATGGTAATTAACCTGTATTATGAAGGTAATAATGCTTATTAAATCACATCATGCAGTTCTAAATGCTCAGGAGTGCTGGTTATGATTCCTCCTATGACAGTGACAACAGCAAACCAATATGAGACAGCTGACCTTATGAGACAGCTGTCACCTATGACTTGCTTCAGGCAGATTACCAGTCTTCCAGTGTAGGACCATGGCATTCAATATAAAGGACTGTCTTTTTGTTTAAGAATTCCATATATGCAATAATGTGTTTTAATCAAATTACCTCTCCATTCCCTCCCCCAGTTCTTCCCCTGTCCCCCACCACTTTTTCCTCCCAACTACATGAGCTACTTTAATTTTGTTTTAAACCCACTGAGTCAGAGTCTACTTAGTGCTGTCTGTGTGTACATGGATATAAGGCCATCCACTGGAGCATGGGTAGCCTCTGGGGGCCACATCCCTGAAGAAAATGGACTCTCCCTCCCCCAGCAGCCATCATTTGCCAATAGCTCCTCACTAGGCCTGGGATTTCATGAGCCCCCCCCCTTCCACCCTGGGGTTCTGATGGGCTTGATCTTGTGCAGGTCTTGTGTGCGTGCATTTCGCCTCTGTGAGTTCATGTGTAGAAAACATTGTTTCTTATCAGCCCTCTACTTCCTCTGGCTTTTACCTGTTGTTACTCTTCATGCAAGTATCACCTGCCTAGTTAAGCTGAAAATCTTCACTCCCATCCCCTCTTCCCCAGTGGGTCCACATTGGATCCAGTGATTTAGGCAAATAAGCTCTAAACATGGTGTTAAAAGCTAATTTTTCCACTTTGGAAATGTCAGCTGGGGACTGAGGAGTCGGCTCACTGGGTAAAGTACCTGTTCTGCAAGCATGAGGACTTGAGTTCTGATCCTCAGCACCAGGCACGAGCCTACCATCTCAGCACTGGGAGGTAAAGATAGGAAGATCCAGGGGAGCTTGCTGACCAGCCACTCTAGGCAATCAGTGAGTTCCAGGTGCAGTGAGAGAGCTCATCTCAAAAAGTAAGGTGGGGAGTGATAGTGGAAGACACCAGCATCAACCTCTGGCTTCCACGTGTACAGTACATGTATGCTATATACATCAGTGGAGGTAGATCAGATTTAGAAGCAGAGTCAGGCATTGTCCATCCATCAGCAGGTGCTGGAGGCCCCAGCCCCTGTTGGAAGCTCCATGCTAGTTGGAATTACAAAGAGTACATGCTCAGCTTTCTTTCTGATCTGTCCCAGACCCCCAAGGCATTCTGGAAAATCATACTTACTTTGTGAGGACTGAAATACAGACTTGGGGAAAGGCACAGTCATCCTATTCTTTCTCTGCTTCTGTTTTGTGGGTTGGTACCAGACCTGGCAGGGCCAGTGGCAGAGGTGGTGATCAGCTCAGCAGTAGGAGGGAGGAAAAGAGAGCAGGCTAACACTGAGGAGGCTCTGACCTTTTCAGTGCCTGGCTTATCTTTCCTGCCTTCAGTTTCAACCTGCTCTTTCATCTCACTGGGAGCCTCTGCTTGGGGCAGATTCTGAACAATGGCAGCCTTGTCCACCTCCAGGGAGGTCAAGTCAGGATCCCTATCAGCTTCCTCAAGCTGAAAGGCTGAGATTAAGAGGCTGTTAAAGGCCAACAGTACTCTGCACTGGATTTTCTAGTTCAACATAATGGAGAAGCTATGGTGTAGGAGCTGCAGCAGCTATGTAAACATCTGCTCCCATTTCACATCAAACAAGTTTTCATAATGGGAGAATGCTGGAACTCTCTTCCAGGTCTAGAATCAGGAGACTGGTTAAGTAAATTATTTTATATTTCAAGGAAGATGTGATGGATCTGTTCAAAGTGGTGATATCTGTTTTTACTGGTAGAGGTGGTATTCATAAAATACTAATAAAAATAGGATAAGAAATAAGATAAGAACTACTGATAATAGCAATACACACAGACACACACACAAATCCTGTGTAGTTGTGTACAATACGATTCCATGTAGATTTTAAAACACACAACTATAGCCCAACATGGTGGCTAGTTCCTCCCTTCTGTAATTCCAGCACTTGGGAGGCTGAGACATGAGGATCAAGCTTTTGAGGCCAGCCTGGGCCACATAGGGGGAACTTGCCTCTGAATAAATATGTAAATATGTACATGCATGGATATATAAAGCCACATGCAGAGCAAGCCATTAGACAAGATAAATATAAGGGGTTAAAACAATAACTAGGTTTGAAGGGGCTCTGTTGGCTTGATTTTCCTTTCTTTTCTCTCATATTTTTTTCTTTATTTATTTTACTTGACTGTCTTTTCTATATGTGATAATAGACCTTCCTTTTTAGTTATTATTATCATTTGTGTATGGTGTGTGGGGTGTATGCATGCCACAGCATACATGTCGAGGTCAGAAGACATCTCTCTCCTTCTACCTTTACATGGGTTCTGTGGATCAAACTCAGGTCTTCAGATTTGTGAGGTAAGAACTTTTCCCACTGAGCCATCTCATACCCCCTTCCCTCTTTTGTGAGGTAAGATCTTACTCTGTGGCCAGGCTAGCCCAGAACTTACAACATTCCTGCCTCAGCCTCCTGAGTATTGGGATTACAAAAGTGGGCCTCCACACTTGGTTGATGACAGCCTTTTGAGAGGCTCCCTACCTGTCAACTTGTTCATATCCATATTACCAAAAGTGGGAGCAGGCTATCAATATGGTGGAGTTATTTCCCCTTCATCAGGAACACTTCATTCTGAGGGCTGATTTGTTGTCTTAGTTTGTCTCTTATGAGAACTTCCTATTGTTTCTTTCCAGTGTCCTTTGGTTTTTCATCCTCACAGTAAGCCTGGACCTTTGCTGAGACCCCCATGTCTTCACCTCTGTCTTTAGAGGTCTGGATAAAGGGGGAACCAGGATGTTTGGTTCTTCTTCACCATCTCCTTCAAGTTCAAGTCTCAAGTTCATTTTCATATTAGAATCACCTGGGGGTTATGATGCTGCACCTGTTCTCAGAGATTTGGACTTCTCTGTCTTGTGTGAAGCCTTGGCACTGGGCATTTTAAGGCCTTCCAGGGGATTCTTACACATGGCCAAGGATGAGAGCCATGCCTTGGAACCTGCCCACTTTATCACATCCCTTCCCTGATGTCCAAGGAGCCGAAGTTGGTTTGGAAATAGTTTTCTCTTCTTGATCTGTCCCTAAGTGAACAGTGTGCATTGAGGTATTCAAGATTCTGATCTGTCTCTGTGTCTCGCTGTCTTTATGTCTGTCTGTCCCTAAGTGAACAGTGTGCGTTGAGGGAGATGAACCTTCAGAGAGGCCTAGCCTGCTTCTGACTTCTTTTCCTCTTTCATTTAGTATGGAATTGTGCTGGATGCCGGCTCTTCCAGAACCACCGTCTACGTGTATCAGTGGCCAGCAGAGAAGGAGAATAACACAGGTGTGGTCAGCCAGACCTTCAGATGCAGTGTGAAAGGTAAGGTCCGAGTATGGAGTCACCTCAGTCCAGTTCCTTCCATTTCTGACTGCTGTCTTCTCATCAGTGGACATGAGGAATATCAGGGATTGTGAATGGTCTGAGATGTTCCCTTCCTCATTGTCCTGGGTGGTGGTGGAAGACACAAGACTCCTGCGTGAGAAATGGAGGGCTTGGTTCCTCACAGTGACAGTAAGAGGCAGAGGGTCAATGTTTTCTTTGTGTGGATTCTCCAACTCCCAGTTCTCACAGGGTGATGTCAGGAGAGCCACGTGCTCCTTGCTGTGGGCTGTGTTGCAGAAAAGAAACCCTGGGGCTAAGGACCTGGACTGTTGATAATGGGCGGTGAGCATGCCTGCTTTTGCTCTGGAAAGAAACACCATCATTCCAGGTGGCCCACAATCACCTGTAACTCCAGCTCCAGGGAATCTAACACCTTTTGGCCTCTCCAGACACTGTACTCAGGTGCACAAACCTTCACACAGATGCACATGCACATACATAATTAAAAATAAAATAAATCATTTTTTAAAAAAAGAAAAAAGTTAGGAGGAGACAGTTTGATATTTCAATACATGTATACAATGTGTACAGATCAGATTCGGGTAATTAAGATTTCCGTCTCCTTATTATGATGTTATGTTTGGAGCCTAGTTCAAGTTCCTCTTTTTTAGTTATTCATAAAATGGATAACAGTTTATTGTGACCATAGTTGCCCACTGTGCTGTAGAAGGCTACATTCCTTCTGCCTAGCCAGATTTTGGCACCAATTATCTGGCCTTCTTGTGTCCCCTCCATCTTTCCCAGCCTCTGGTAATCACTACTGCACATTCAGGTCTAGACTTTCATTACATTCTTTTACTTATTTGGGAAGGGGAGCACACACAGCCATAGTATATTTGTGGGGGTCAGAGGACAACTTGTGGGAGTTGGTTCTCTCCTACAGTGTGGGTTCTGGGGACCAGACTCAGGTTGTCAGGCTTGGCAGGAGGCACCTTTGTCCACTGAACTTTTCTGGCTCCTTTTTGCTTGCTTTTTACTGTGTTGCTTGATTTTTTTCTTATGGATTCATTGACGTTTCTTAATTCAAATCAGAATATGAATATTGTTTTGTCGTTGCTAAGACATTCTTATAGCCTGTATTTCTCTCACATAGTGACTAATGGCTCTATCCTCTTTACTGTAAGTGATAAGCATTTCATTCTTTTTATGGCTGAGTAATATGCCATTGTGTATATGTACCACATGCAGTTTGCTCTTTTAATTTCATCTGATGGTGAATATATCTTTCAATAAGCATAAGCCCTATATTCTTATGTCAGTATAAGTACCCATCTCCTTTGTGGTTTGCTATTTCTGATGTTTTATTCGAGAATTCCTCCCCTATCAGGAGCTCATGGAGATTATTGAAATTTTGTAATTGTTTTTCAAATTTTATAATTTTGCCTTTACAATGAGGCTTTCAGTCTCCATAACCAAGGTCACATGTGTGTTGATGTGCTCTTAAAATTTTTATTTTTTTTTTATGTGTATGAGTGTTTTGTCTGCATGTATATAAGTGCACCTGTGTCATGCAAGGCCCACAGAGGCCACAACAAGGCATCAGAGCCCCTGAAACCGAAGTTATAGATGGTTGTTAGGCACCATGTGGGTGCTGTGAACTGAACATGGGTCTTCTGCAAAAGCAGCCAGTGTTCTTAGCTGTTGAGCCATCTCTCCAGCCCCCAGCATGTGCCTTTCTAAAAGCTACTATTTTATTTGTTATACAACCATGAGGACCTGAGTTCAATCCCTAGCAACCACATTTTAAAAGAAAGAAAAAAAATACAGGCTTACCTGTAATTCCAACCCAGGGGAAGATAGAGATAGGAGGATCCTTGGGGTTTGCTTGCCAGTCAAGCTGAAGCATTGAGCTCCAGGTTCAGTGACAGTCCTTGTCTCAAAAAGTAAGGTGAAGAGTGATTGAGGAAAACATTAAAAATTGACCTCTAGGGAATGGAGAGATGGCTCATCAGTTAAGAGTACTGGCTGCTCTTGCAGAGGGCCCAGGTTCAAATCCCATCACCCACATGGCAGCTAACAACTGTCCATAACTCCAGTGCTAGGGAATCTGATGCCCTCTTCTGTCCTCCACAGACATTGCACCACATGGGTGCACTTACATACATGCAGGCAATACACTCATACATAAAAATAAAAATAATAAAATATTTTAAAAATTGGCTTTTGGGCTTCATACACACACACACACACACACACACACACACACACACACACGTAAATAGACAAAATCCACCCTCTTCTACTTTAAAGTATAATACTCTTAGAGTTGACCAGAAGCTTCTCAGCTGATGTGGCCTGGCTGGGGTTCAGCTGTACTCTTAGTCCACAGGACTGTAGGCTAGAGACTGCAAAGTTGACTGGCCCCACCTGCCTCCATCATTTCCCTAGTGAACTGTCAGCATCTTAGAGCTGCTGCACTGCAGAAGTGGGAGGCACAGTTGACCTTTCCCAAGAGGGACCAATAGTGTTCTTTGGGTTTTCAGGGGTGAGCTCTGGTTCTCTGTAGAGGGGAGCTTGCTACCCTGGCACACAGAGGTTGCAGGTTAGATTTTCAACAAACACATGCTGTGACAGTTTGGAATGGAGGGAGGTATTGGAAATTCTAATACTGAGGAGTAGTGCTGTGGCTGGAAGGAGACTGAGGAAGGATGAGATGAGTCTGACTTCATTGCATCAGAGAAAGCTTTCACCAATCAGTTTCCCTGTACTGGGCTGGATGGGCTGGCATGGCTGGACCTCTGCCCTCATCATCACAGCCCTTGGATGTTTGCCACACTGGAAGGAGCAAGACCTTGCATGATGTAGCTCTCTGTTGCTGAGTGCCTCCGTGGCACATTTCTGGGTTGACCACAACAGAGTACTGGAATGTTCCTGAGCACTGTTTGTAATTCTATCCCCTTCGTTGAGCTAACTTCTGAGCGATTTCTTCCTCTCCAAGTGAGAAAGAAAGCAGTAGTATACTCCCTCTTAGAAAGATGGGGCTGGAGAGGTGGTGCAGAGGGTAAAGATGCTTACCACCCAGCCTCAGCTCAATCCTGGAAACACATATGGTAGGAGAGAACCAAATCCCATAAGTTGCCCTCTGAATGCCACATGCACATCCTGGCATGTGTGCCCCTCCATACATTACACACACACACACACACACACACACACACACACACAATAAATAAATAAATAAATAATAATATAAATTTTAAATTTTTTGAGACAGGGTCTCTCTGTAGCTCCAGCTGGCCTGGAACTCATTATATAGACCAAGCTCACAGAGATCTTTTTGCCTCTATCTCCCAAAGTTGGGATTAAAGGTGTGTGTCTCCATGCCTGGCTTAAATTTTTTTAAAATAAAAAGACCTAGTAGAAGGAGGCAAGGATCTCTGTGCATTCAAGTCTAGCCTGGCCTACATAGCAAGTTCCAGACCAGTCAGGGCTACAGAGACTTATCTAACCAACAACAAAAAAGACCTACTTTTATTATTTTTAATTTTATGTGTCTGTGTGGGTATGTGCATGTGAGTGCAGGTGCTTGCAGAGGCCAGAAGAGGGCATCAGATCCCTGGAGCTAGAGTTATAGACAGTTGTGAGCCACTAGACATGGGTGTTGGGAACTAAACTCAGGTCCTCTGGAAGAGGATTATATGCTCTTAACTGCTGAGCCATCCTTCTAATATAAGCTCTAAAACATTATCCAACCTCTCTGAGCCTTAACTCCTAAAACTAAAAAAAATGGTGATAATAGTACCTACTCCGTAAGATGCTTGGAAAATCCCCACCCCCAACCCCTGAGAGCAAATGCCCAGCATGGAGTAAGCACTCAATAAGTGTTAGCTGTCTGAAACACCTACTCCAGAGATTCTGGGATCCTCTTGCAAATGGCCACTGAGTCTCATAGTTGTAAGATTTCTCTCTTTAGAGACTGGAGAAATAGCTCAGTGACTGAGAGCCCTGGCTGCTCTAGCAAAGGACCTGCATTTGGTTCCTAGCACCCACATGGAAGCTAACAACCATTTTTAACTCCAGTTCCAGGGGATCCAACACCCTTCTCTGGCCTCTGCAGGCATTGCACTTATGGGTACACTTATATACATGCAAGCAATACATTCTTACACATAAAATATAAATAAATAAATAAATAAATATATAAATAAATAAATAAATAAATAAATAAAATTTTTACAGAAGACTTCTGTCTTTAGACGGGAGAACAAGTGAGCCAACTCCCTGTCAGTGGCACTATAACTCTAGGGGGAGGTGGGACTTTACAGCAAAGGGTCATAGGCAGTCCCTCAGGAAGAGTTTCTTGGTCTACCCTGTGATTCAGGGATGAGATAGGGTCACAGAGCCCTCACCACACCCTTAAACAAACTTTTTGTCCTTTGATCACTGGCACCTCAGGAATCCATACATTCTTGGAGGGACCAGAGACCACAAACTGCAGCTGAAATTACAGAGTAGAAGCTTGGCAAGTGTCACTCCCTCGAGGACACGTGGCTTCTCCAATACTAATATGGGCTTTTGGTTTCTCAGATGTAGGCTTCCCATGAGCCAGCCACAAGGGCTGGTGAACATGTGCTCACCCAGCATGATTTTCAGGGCTTTAGACCCTCAGGACTTTCCTTCCCTGGGGGTTCTGGGTAGGTTTCAATCCCTAGTTGCTGATACTCTCTGTTAGGTCACTGGGCTTTGCCTCTGCCAGTGGTCTCTGTTCTGGTGTCTGTAGCCCTGACTGTTGAGAGGAAGCCACTCCCTGTGGGACCTGGTTCCCATCACATTCTGTGTGTGTGTGTGTGTGTGTGTGTGTGTGTGTGTGTGCAGATGCACATGTGTGCCCAGGTATGTGTGTTTGTGTGTGTGCATGGCCATGGCAGCCAGAGGATTACCTCAGTTGTCAATCCTCAGGTGCTGTTTTCTTGGGGTGTTTGTTTGGTTGTTTGTTTTTGTTTTGAGACAGGGTCTCAAAATTTGGGAAGTGGGCTGGCTGTCCAGCCAACGAGCCCCAGATAATCCTCCTGTCTCCATTTCTCCAAAACTGGGATTACAAGCATGCTTTTTACATGAGTTCTGAGGATCTGAACTCAGGTCCTCCTGCTTGCATGACAAGCACTTTGCTAACTGAGCCATCTCCCCAGCCCCTGACTTTTAAAGTCTGGGGATGGGGAGATGACTCAGTAGTCAAGAGCACTAATTGCTCTTTTTGAGGACCTGGGTTCAATTCCCAGCACCCACATGGTGGCTAACAACTATCTATAACTCCAGTTGCAGGGGAATCCAATGCCCTCTTCTGACCTCCACCAGCATTGCATGGCATGGGTTCACTTACACACATGCAGGCAATACAGTCATACACATAAAATTTAAATAGTAAAAAAAAAAATATTTTTGATGTCTTTTTACCATTCTGAGAAATGCTAATGCATTCTGACTGTTTTCTCGTCAGGCTCTGGCATCTCTAGCTATGAGAATAATCCCCAAGATGCCCCCAAAGCCTTTGAGGATTGCATGCTAAAGGTAAAGGACCAGGTCCCACCGCACCTCCATGGATCTACTCACATTTATTTGGGAGCCACGGCTGGAATGCGCTTGCTGAGGTAAGGGTTCCCAGCGCAAAGGAGCTCAGATGACCAAACCAGCAAAGAGTGTGTTAAACTTTGTCAAGAATGTCACTCTATTTCTGGGAACAAGCCAAAGAGAACGAAGCCCATATTCTGTCATAAGTTTAGTGGCTGGGAAAATTTTAGCCATCAGCTTCATACCCAGAAAGGAATAGTTCTAAAAGTGGGTCCCTCCTCTCAATTGGTAATTTTACCAAGAAGTCTGGAAAAGGTCATGTTGACATGACATCTGCTCACCAGGTATCCTGCGCTTCGTTGAAGAATAGTTGTTTTTGGCACAGGTGAGCAGTCAGCTAAATTCTGTGGTAAGTTCAGCCCTTAGCTACAGCGCTTCTGCCTTCCCCTGTGCAAAATGTCCCAGAAAGCTCGGCAGGATCGTGGAATGTCTGTCCCTTGCTGCAGTCAGAGCCTTCGGAATTGTTGCATAACAGATATCTCATTTCATCCAACCTGTTCCTGATAAATTTGTAAACATGACATGGAGCCCAGTGGCAGTGTTTTCTAATATCTCTTACATCTTTTTGTTTGTTTTGTTTTATTTGCGACATGGCTGACTCTGTAATCCCAGCTAGCCCACAACTATGTAGCCCAGGATATCCTTGAACTTGTGGAGATCTTCCTGCCTCTGCAGGCGCCAGCCACCTTGCTCCTATTTTTTCTCTATTTCATTCTTTTTTGTTTTGTTTTGCAGTGCTAGGAATAGAACCCAGGGCCTTGTCCATGCTAGGCAAGCACTCTACCCCAAAGGCACATCTGCAGCCCTCTCACCTATATTTTCTCATTATAGTATTTCCTTGGCCTTAAAATAAAATAAAAAGTTTCAGAAAGGAACAGGAAATGTAAATCTGTTCAGGGTGCAGGCTGTTCCAGGCACTCTGTTTCTAAGATACTTATGATCCCAGAGAGATAACTATATGTCTTGGTATAGAGAAAACACAAAGGACAGATGAACCCATGCATTTAATAGGACCATGAAGATGGACTGGTCATGGTGGTGCATGCCTTTAGTCCCAGCACTCAGGAGGCAGAGGCAGGTATATCTCTCTGTGAGTTTGAGAGTAGCCTGGTCTACATAGCAAGTTTCAGGCCAGCCAGAGCTACATAGTGATACCCTATCTTTAAAAAAAAAAAAAAAAAAAAGCAAGGCTAGCTCAGCAGTTAAGAGCACTGGCTTCTCTTGCAGAGGACCTGGATTTGGTTCTCAGCACCAGCACACACTAAGTGTTTCACCTTTCTTCTCCCACTAACTAATGAGAGTCATCTCCAAGTGATCTTTGTCTGCAGGGTAACAGGGCAGGTAGGCACTAAAATGACAGTGGATGGTAACACAGTGCTGTCAGGCATCTACAGCCACACGATGGTGATTTTTAGTTCAGGGACAACATGATGAAACTCCTTGTGAAACCCTCCCAAAGAGCAAAGACAGGTAGCTCAAAGCTTAGCCCTCTCCCTTTCCCCCTTCCTCCTAAGCCCACCTTCCTTTTGGTGAAATGAGGCTCCTTCCTACTGTGCCTCAAGATATAATGCAGGCTGCTCCTGTGCCCTCTCCAGCCTTCCTTCCTCCACGGACCTGAGCCAAATCAATACAGATAAGGAGCCCTTCTGATTAGCTGATTACTAGCAAATGGACCCAAACTGGCAGGGAGGGAGAACAAACAGACCAGTCATCAAAAACTGTTTTCCTACCTGGGAGTTTGGCAGGTTACAAGTGCATCCTGCGTTTACAGCAGCCCTGGGAGGTTTCCACTTGTAAAGGAGGTCACCACTATGCACTGCACTGATTTGGAAAATTGTCCTGCCAGCAAGGGGCTGGGGGGAGGGAGCTCGTCACCTAAGGGAGCCGATGGGAAGACCTCGGTGCCTCAGTGCTCAGCCTCTTGTGTTCTGTGCCTTGCGTAGGTTGCAAAATGAGACAGCAGCTAATGAAGTCCTTGCGAGCATCAAAAGCTACTTCGAGTCCCAGCCTTTTGATTTTAGGGGTGCTCAAATCATTTCTGGGCAAGAGGAAGGGGTGTATGGATGGATTACAGCCAACTATATAATGGGAAATTTCCTGGAGGTGTGTGCAAAAATTTGCATGGTTTTTAAAATCTCGCTGTTTATCCTGTCCCTCATGGGTGATAGCTGAGGCGGAGGTACATGCTCAGAGGGCAACGGGTCATATGTCAGGAAAGAACTTAGGGACAACAGCTAAGAAAGGATATTTATATACCAGACCAAACACATGGGCGAGGGGGGAAACGCATCACTTTGCAAGCCTGGGAGGAGATCTAGGTTGAACACCAGATTCTGGGTGTTTAAAAGGATAGTTTGAAGATGACCCTTCAGAAAAGCTCCATGGCTACCTAAAATTTACAGAGCCCCTACACAGTCTGTTTCCAGAGTCCCCAGAGAGAAGGGAGTTCTTACTCTGTGTCCCACAGTCTCTTTATAGTCCAGTCCCCTCAAAGGATACTCAAACTCTATCCCGGTCTAGGCCTTTTCTTTTTTTTCTTTGTTACCCTTCAAGTGTGTTTTAAAATCTTAAATTAATTGGCACAAATAATATTTGGGAACTCTCATGTGAAATTTCGTGCATCTAGCCTCTTCTGGCCTCCTTGAAGTTGAAAGGGACTTGCCTTCCTAAGCAGGACGATACAGAACCCAGACTCCTTAGTTTGTCACATACACACACACACACACACACACACACACACATCCCATCCCTGTTACAGTTCATCAACTGCATGCATTTGTGACTGGGCTGTTACCCCATTCAGCTCCTATAGCCATTTGAACTCACAAGCCCTGAAATAAAAGGAGAGGACCAGCCCTGAGAGTGCCCATGTTGCCCTGCCTACCTGTAGAGTCGGGACTTGGGTGGAGATCCCTGGACAAGCAGAGATGGTGTCTCTGGCCTTTCTTCTCACTTCCTATTCCCATGCAGAAGAACCTGTGGCACATGTGGGTGCACCCACACGGAGTGGAGACCACGGGAGCCCTGGATTTAGGTGGCGCCTCCACCCAGATATCCTTTGTGGCAGGAGAGACGATGAGGCTGAATGCCAGTGACACGGTGAAGGTGTCCCTGTACGGTTACACGTACACGCTGTACACACACAGCTTTCAGTGTTATGGCCGGAATGAGGCTGAGAAGAAGTTCCTGGCGATGCTTCTGCAGGTACTGAGTGGGAGGGTCCCAGCTGTGGGAGGGGGTCCTCATCCACATCCCATCAGCAAAATGATGGAGCAGCAGCATCTTCTAATGTATTCCTGGGGTCTTCCCTCTCCCCCCAGCTCCCTTTATTCCTCTGTCGTGTTGACTATTTCCAGCAGATGTAAGAACTAGGGAAGATCATTAACACGATAATTAAGTCAATACAGTGGCTGCTATGCCAGCCTGGGGACATGAGTTTGGTTCTCTGGTGCCCATATTGAAAAAAATAAATACAGACAGGGTGGTACATACTGTCATCCCAGCACTAGGGAGGCAGAGACATACAGGCCCCTGGGGCTCCCTGGCCAGCCAGTCTCACCTACTCAGTGAGTTCCAGGCCAGTGAGAGACCCTGTCTCAAAAAGCAGGTGGGGGCTGGAGAGATGGCTCAGCAGTTAAGATGGAGTTCTGCTCTTGCTGAGGACCTGGGTTCACTTCCTAGCACCCACATCCAGCAGCTCATAACTACCTGTAGCTCCAGTTCCAGAGCATCTAATGCCCTCTGCAGGCCTCTCCAGGCATCCACATGTGCACACACACACACACACACACACACACACAATCAATCAATCAATCAATCAATCGATCGATCGATCTTAAAAGATTGATCTTAAAAGCCGGGAATGGTGGTGTATGCCTTTAATCCCAGCACTTGGGAGGCAGAGGTAGGTATATGTCTTTGAATTTGAGGCCAACCTGTTCTACATAGTGAGTTCTAGCCCAGTCAAGGCTATACAGTGAAGTCTTATCTCAAAACAAGTAATTAAAAATATAATAAAAATTAAAATAAACAATGTAAATGAAACCTGATGAACAGCACCTGAAGTTGATCTCTGACCTCCACACATATATGTGCACATGTGCACACATGCACACACAAACACACACAGAAGGATGACCCAAAGTTCTAAATGTTTTATGCATGATTCAAGACCTGGGATCCTTTTACAGACAGAAACTAACTCAGTTGGTACATAAGCCTGAGAATTTTGAGACTCCCCTGGGCATAGACAAATAATATTAGTGATCATAAGAGAAATGCATGGGACAGGACAGGGTCTGCACTGGACCAGCTTCCTTGGAGAAAGGTCTATATTTGGCTTGGAGTCCTGGAGGTGACAGAGCTTCAGTGCAGCCAAATTCCATCAAGTTGGTTGGCAATCCATAGTGCATGTATTCTAGGGTACAGACGGCTGCAGTAGGCTCCCGCTACAAGGCTGTCACTTGCATAAAATCAGCATTAATAAATGTCAGTGTGTGTGTGTGTGTGTGCATGTGTGCATGCGTGCATGTGTGCACACACATGCTCATGCACACAAGCTCCATAAATAAGACCCTGGAGCCCCAAGTTCCAGTGTCAGGGAACACTAGGAACACTAACTTCCACTGTTGTTGGTCTGCTAAGATGGATAAGAGGGTCCCTGACCTACTGGAAGGTGTGAGGATGACCCACCAGAAGCCACAGGCTGGCTTCCAACTCACAGTTGTTTATGTTTCTATTTTATGTGTATGAGTATTGCCTGCATGTATGTAAGTGCACCCAATTCATACAATGCCTGTGGAGGTCAGAAGAGGGCATTGCATATCCTGGAACTGGAGTTACAGACTCCAGTTGTTAGCTGCCATGTGGGTGCTAGGAAAAATAATTTTTCTCATTATTTTATGTGTATGAGTGTATTGCCTGCATGTGTGTAAGTGCACCATGTCATGCAGTGCCCACGGAGGTCAGAAAAAGGTGTTGGATTCCCCCGGAACTGGAGTTACAGATGGTTGTTAGCTGCCATGTAGGTGCTGAGAATCGAACCCGGGTCCTCTGTAAGAGCAGTCAGTGCTCTTAACTGCTGAGCCATCTCTCCAGCCCCTAAAAAAATTTTTAAGAAAAAATTCACCATGAAGAAAACAATAAGTAGTATATTTTGTAGCTTTGAAATAGAATACAGTTCAAATCCAATTCTTTATAAAAGAGACTCTAAAGATAGAACCAAATACATTAAAATCTTTTAGCATAATATACAAAGAGCATTTTAGCTGGGCGTGGTGGTGCACTTGGAAGGCAGAGGCAGGTAGATCTTTGTGAGTTCAAGGCCAGCCTGGTCTGTATAGTGCGTTCCAGACTAGCTGGAGCTACAGGGAGACCCTGTCTCAAAAAGACCAATCAATCAATCAATAAATTTTAAATAAAATAAAAATAGCATTTTATACCCTAGGTAAATCCCGACTTATTTTTAATTTTTTTATTTACTATTTTTATTTTATGCAATGACTGTATTGCCTGCATGTGTGTAAGTGCCCCTGAGCCATGCAATGCCCACAGAGGTCAGAAGAGGGTATTGGATCCCCTAGAACTGGAGTTATGGACAGGTGTTAGCTGCCATGTGGGTGCTGGGAACCAAGCCCAGGTCCTCTGCAAGAACAGTCAGTGCTCTTAACCACTGAGCCATCTCTCTAGCCCCACCTACTTGTTTTTAATATCAATAGATCACAGATGGATCAATGATTCATATATATCAAAGAGGTTTATTTGTTTGTAATGGCAAAATGATAGAAAAGTATCTCTATGGTCCTTAACCAAGTTATGGCTTACTGGTACTGTGAGATATTGCACAGCTGCTTAAACAAAGAGGCTGTCACACATACACAACGAATAGAAGGAGCACAAAGATTTTTTTCAACATTAGAAAAAAATTTAAAACTATGTGTGTTTGTGCCTCTGTGTGTGTGTGTGTGTGTGTGTGTGTGTGTGTGTGTGTGTGTGTGTAACTGGAGTTATAGATAGTTGTGAGCCACCCAATGTGAGTGCTGAGAACCAAACTCAGGTCCTCTGAAAGAGCAATTCACGGGGCTGGAGAGATGGCTCAGCAGTTAAGAACACTGACTGCTCTTTCAGAGGACCCGGGTTTGATTCCCAGCACCCACCTGGTGGCTACGAACCATCATTAGCTCCAGTTCCAAGGGAATCCAATGCCCTCTTCTGACCTCCACAGCATTGCATGACACAGGTGCACTCACATACATGCAGGCAATACACTCATATACATAAAATAAAAATAATAAAATATTTTTAAAAAGAAAGAGCAATTCATGTACTTAACCATTGGGCCATCTCTCAGCCCTGGTTTTATATTATTATTATTATTATTATTATTATTATTATTATTAATTACTATTATATTTATTCATTGGGGGTTGTGCATGGCATGCATGTGGAAGTCAGAGGACAACTTTTGGGAGTCAGTTCTCTTTCCACCAGGTGGGTTCTGGGGATCAAACTCAGGTTATCAGGCTTGGCACCATGCACATTTATGCTCTGTGCTCTGAACCATCTCACTGGCCCAGCAACCTTGGTTCTGAACATACACACATGCACACACACACACACACACACACTGTGTACTCTATCACATAAGACAGTGCCAACGAAAGCTTCCCGTAACACCTTGGCTTGGATTCAAAAACTATGATACGTTGTGAAAGGCAGTGATTTTACACAACATACAAAGTTTCTGCTCTTATAGAAACATAAAAATATACCGTGGAAAGCAAAGATGTTGAGTATTTTCCTGCCCTCATTCTTCAGCATGTATCATCATATTGGTCTGTTTTTGGATTGTGTTGTGGTGGACAGACAAGCAGGTCCATCAGAGCAGTGTGCAAATTTGCTTTAGTGTTTGGTAAATGGTAAAATTTTAGGTCTACCAAAGAATAGGAGTTTTGGGGGGTTTGTGTGGGGTTTTTTTTCTTTTGGTCTTTTTGAGACAGGGACTCCCTGTAGCCCCAGCTGTCCTGGAGCTCACTATGTAGACCAGGCTGGCCTTGAACTCACAGAGATTCACCTGCCTCTGCCTCCAGAGGGCTGGGATTAAAGGCATGCGCCACCATGCCCGGCATAGTTTTTTACTATGTGTGTGCATGTGGTATATGTATGTGTGTATGTGCACATGTGTGTGCATGTATGTGGAGGCCAGAGGTTGACAGTGGGTATCTTCTATCACTCCACACTGTTTCTGAGGCAGGATCTCTCACTGAACTTGGAGCCCACTGCTTCAGCTAGGCTGACTGACCAGTGAACTCCAGAGATCCACTTCTCTCCACTGCCCAGTGATGGGGTTGCAGAGTGAACTGCACACCGGAGGCTTTTACATTCATACTGGGGATGGAACTCAGGTCTTCATGCTTGTAGTGCAAGCACTTTATTGACTGAACCATCTCTCCAGACCCAAAGAATTGCTTTAAAATCAATTTCTTTATGATTTTTATTATTAGTAAATATTTGATTTGTCTACTTATTGTATACACTTATAGACCCAAGTCACATAGAAAGTTATTGGGTAAAAGGATGTGGTGAGTGGCGAATGTTTTAGAATTCCTGCTGGACAGGCTGGCAACAGCACGCACTGCACACAGTGGCATTTCTCAGCTTCTCTTGGGGTTGCAGGATAGTGACATGAAAGAAAATTGTCCCTCCTAACCCTCCCTCTGGTATCTCCAGAGCTCTCCCTCTGAAACCAACATCAGCAACCCCTGCTACCCTCGGAGCTACAGCACCACCTTCACCCTGGGCCACGTGTTCGGTAGCCTGTGCACGGAGAAGCAAAGGCCAGAGACTTACAATGCCAGCGACATCATCACATTCATAGGAACTGGGGACCCACAAGTGTGCAGGGAAAAGGTGGCTTCTGTGTTTGACTTCAAAGCTTGCCAGGATCAAGACACTTGTTCATTTGATGGTGTTTACCAGCCCAAGGTTCAAGGACCATTTGTGGTAAGAGTAAAACCCACTAAGAGTTGTCGTCATCATAGCCACCCCGCCCCCAGAGTATTTATCTCCCACCTCTATTTTCCTCTTGCCACCCTGTTAGCTGCTTTTTATTCCCTGCCCTGATAGCTCCATAGAATACACTATCGGAAAATTCACTCTTTCCTCCCCTCACAGGCTTTTGCAGGATTCTACTATACAGCCAGTGCATTAAACCTCTCTGGAAGCTTCTCCTTGACCTCCTTCAATGACAGCAGCTGGGACTTCTGCAGATACACTTGGAGTGAGGTCAGTGTTTGAGAAGAAAGGTCAGCATTTGTACTACAGTATGGCAGGGTGTATTTCATGTACGTGTGGATATGTCTATGTGTGGATATATGTGTAATGTATATGTATGTGTATACTGTATATGCACATTTGTATATATGTATATGTGTGTCTATGTGTACTGTATGTTTCTGTGGCATATGTGTATATGATGTATATGTGTGTCTGTGTGTATTGCATTTGAGTGGTATACGTATGTGTGTGTATGTACTGTGTCATATATGTGTACATATGTTTGAATGGTATATGTGTGTACATGTCTTTGTGTACTATGTAGGTAGCTCCTGAATTTATCCCCCTGCTCCTCTAATCTGTATGTTTAAAATTGTGTAGCTGGGGACTGAGCTTCACACCTGTGCTGTGTGTTAATGCTCTAGCTGCATGCAGAAGTGTTAGAGCAGAGCCAGACAGGGTGGTGCAGGCCTGCAACCCCAGCACTGCAGAGCTGGAGGGAGGAGGATCAGAGGTTCAAGGCCAGCCTGAGATACGTGAAACCCTATCTCAAAAGCACAAAAGAAGCTGGGCATGGTGGCACATGCCTTTAATCCCAGCACTCCAGAGGCAGAGGCAGGCAGATCTCTGTGGGGCTAGCTTGATCTACATAGCAAGTTCCAGACCAGCTGGGGCTACAGGGAGACCCTGTCTCAAAACAAAGTAATAAACAAAAAGAAGGAAGGAAGAAAAAGAAAGGTTGGAACATCCATCGAGCTTCATGACTATTATGATGTGACTTTCTGCAGATACTTTCATTATCATATAACAGGGTTCTTAGTCGTTTCTATCTTGAAATTCTGAGTGATGAGCTTTAAAATGCAGCTGCCACCTCAGTTGATCTGAAATTTGAATCTTGAGATTCACCCGCCCTCCTCCTCTCACGTGTTTGAAATCTCTTTTTCAGCTCCCATCCCTGCTCCCCAAATTTGATGAGGTCTATGCCCGCTCCTACTGCTTCTCAACCCACTATATCTACCACTTGCTTGTAAATGGATACAAATTCACAGAGGACACTTGGCCTCAAATACGGTTTGAAAAAGAAGTAAGTCAAGCACAATTCGTTTTCTCTTCCTCTCCTTAGAAAAATGTGTTCACATGTAAGTGGCAGAAAGGTCAAAGGTTAAAGGACAATCTAAGCCTGCTAGTCACACTTGAACATGCCAGGAAAGAAAGTTGACAGAGAATTTAATGGCGTTGCTTTCAGGAGACTGTTGCAGATGAGAAAAGACTGGAAGCCAAGGGTCTGTACATGGTGAGGTCCTCAAGTCGGGAGTGTTGGGCGTGCTCATATACCAGCATTGAGCTCAGATTTGGAACATAGCCTGTACTTAGGAAAGGTTTAACAAATTACAGCTAAATACATTGAGAAGCTGGGATTTTTCCATCCTGAAAAGAATTTGCAAATGTAATTTACTTTTTAAGAGGATAATCAACTGGTCTCCTTGTTACACAAATGCCAAAATAAGATACAGCCTTTAGAGTGTGAGACATTCATATAGCACATTCTCATTAAAAAATAATTTTCTCTTTAAGGAACCTGAGTCATTGTGTTTACAGACAAAACTTGGGGGTGGGAAAGGTCTTCTTGGTTTAGAAATAAATGGGTGGATGGATGATGGATGGATGGACCAATGAATAGATATAGTATATAGATAAGAGATAGATGGATAGATGCTAGATAGACAAATGATGGATGGATAGATAAATGATAGGTGATAGATAGATGGTAGATAGATAGAAGATAGATAGATAGATAGATAGATAGATAGATAGATAGACAGACAGGTAGATAATAGATCGTAGATAGTGTGCCACTAAATTTTCTCCTTCCCACTCTCTGACCCGCCCTCACTCTCTCAGGGTCTCGTGGAGAAATAGACATAACACATTTTTATCTGAATTTTGATACATTTGGGAGGGGAGGGGATGACTTACAAAGAAACAGACCGTCCCCCACCCCCGGTGTGCTGCGCAGCCACTCAGAAGCCCGCCCGTGGTCTGCCTCATCTCGCAGCGGCACAGGCCGATGCAGAGCTCCAAGTGGGGCCCACCAGTCCTCCCGAGGTCCCTGACACCCCACGGGGTCCACAGCAGGCTGGCTCACCGCTCGCCTCCTGTTCCCTGCTCCCCAAAATGGTGCTAACTCCTCCTCTTTTTTCCCAATGTGCTCCAGTTCTCTCTGGGTCTCTGGACCCACCCCCTCTTTTCCTCTGAGGATGAATTTACCCAACAGATGGATAGATAATAGATGAGTAGATAGTTACATGATAGATAATTTGGATAGACAGGTAGATAATAGATGGATAGATAGATGATAGATGATAGATAGATACATAGATAGATAGATAGATAGATAGATAGATAGATAGATAGATAGGTAATTGCCCAGTGACCAGAATGTTTAGGGAGTGAAAGGACAGCCATCACCAGGCCCTGATTCAGGCAGGTACAACCCGGTGACTCTCTGACCGGTATTGTGCTCCCCATTCTGAGCAGATGCTTTTGGTCAGGATAGTTAAGAAAAAGTCTGGAGGATGTCTGGAACCAATCTGTTCAACTCCAGCTTTGGAAAAATTGGATTAACTCAATCAATATCCTGTATTAGGCCTGGGCTGTCTATTTTTGAATAAGTAAAATTGAGTCATCCACAAAAAATGAAGATGTCTGGAGATGCAGACACACGGCATGTGTGCTCTGAGCTCTGCCTCCAACAAATCTAATTGTCTGCAAAGACATTGTAAAAACAGAGAATGTCTTCCTGCTGAATATCAGCCAGCATTAGGAAGACATTCTAGGTTGAAATTCCCTTTCCAGGATCAGAGAGATGGCTCCTCAGGTAAAGGCATTTCCTGCTGAGCCCCATAACCAAAGTTTGTTCCCCAGAACCCACTTTAAAGAGAGAGAACTGACTCCTACAAGTTGTCCTCTGACTTACACACACACATACATATAGTGGCACATATACAAACACACACAACTTACATACACACACACAACTTGCACACACACACACAACACATGTGTGCACTAAATATCAAAGCAAAAAAATTTTTTAATTTCCTTTCCTTTAATCATAAAGAATTTTATTCCCAGCCAAGTGGGTATTTGTGAGACTATATAAACAGACCAGAACCTTGCTACATAGACATGGAGACATATATATATATGTATATATATAATTTTTTTTGTCTTTTTGAGACAGGGTCTCCCTGTAGCCCCAGCTGTCCTGGAACTCACTATGTAGATCAGGCTGGTCTTGAACTCGCAGAGATCCACCTGCCTCTGGCTTCAAAGTGCTGGGACTACAGGTGTGTGCCACCACGCCCGGCCTGACAGGAATATATTTTTAAAGACAGTAGTCAAGGAGGAAAAGAAATAAACTCAGGAGATACTACAAAACTATAGAAAGTAAAAATGAATATTTTGGCTAGGTGTGGTGGTGCATGCCATTAATCCCAGCACTTGGGAGGCAGAAGCAGGCACATCTCTGAGTTTAAGGCAAGCCTGGTCTACGTAGAGAGTTCCAGGCCAGCCAGGGCTACATGGTGAGACCCTGGCTTAAATAAACAACAAATATTAATCATTTATTTTTAATTTTTAAAAAATGTACTTATTTTATATATATGCCTGAGTGTATATATATGCAGCACATGTATGCATGTCATTGTGAGCCACCATTGGATGCTAAGAGGCAAGCCCTTGCCTGCTAGAAGAACAGCAAGTGCTACTAATTGATAAGTCATCTCTCCAGTCCCCCCAAATTAATTATTTTTATATAGAACACTAGCACTAAAGAAAAAGTCAAGAGCCAGGTACAGAGGCACATGCGTGTGATCACAGCACTCACATAGCAGAAGCAGGATGACCTAGAATTCTAGGCCATCCTCAGCTACATGGCAAGTTCAAGGCCAGCCTGAAGTACATGGACCCTGCCTCAAAAAATAAAATAGGGGGTCTGGAGAGATGGCTCAGCACTTAAGAGCACTGGCTGCTCTTGCAGAGGACCCAGGTTCAGTTCCCAGCACACATATGCTGGCTAACAACTGGCCATAACTCCAGTTCCAGGCCATTTAATGCCCTCTTCTGGCCTTCATGGGCATTGCATGACATGGGTGCACTTACATATATGCAGGCAAAGCACTCATACACATAAAATAAATACATAATTGGGGGGGTGCTTTTTGAGACAGGGTCTCCCTGTAGCCCCAGCTGGCCTGGAACTCACGATGTAGACCAGGCTGGTCTTGAACACACAGAGATCTGCCTGCCTCTGCCTTCCAAGTACTGGGATTAAAGGTGTGTGCCACCATGCCCAGATCAAAATAAACAAATAATTTAAAATAAATAAATAAAATAGGGAGCTTAGGAGATGGCTTGGGGTGTACAGTGTTTGCCACACAAGCATGAGGATTTAAGTTTGAGCCCCAGAACCTGTACAAAAAAATAAACTAGGCATGGTGGTATGTGCTCATAATCTTAACTCTGGAGGGGCAGAGAGAGGAGGATCCCTGCAGCTCACTGACCTGCCAGTTGAGCCAAATTGATGAGCCTTAGGTCCCAAGAAACCCTATCTCAAATTAAGGTAAGCACTTCCTGAGGTACAACATCCGAGGTTGACCACTGATCTCTGATGTATGTGATTACATACACACAAGCAGGTGTGTATACACCCTTATAAATACATAAACTGATTGATAAAAATAAAAGAGGAATATCCATTTATATAGCCAAAGGATAGCAAACATTCAACCCAATAAGTGTTCAGTGTGGCTGGTAGGATACAGTGACATGGTCCAGCTTAAGAGTCTCATCTTGTCAAATGACAAATACAGATATTATTATTTTTTAAATTATTTATTTAATAACCATATAATTAGAAGCATTTCATTACAACAGAATTGACATATTCAATAACAATTTCCAGAGCTAAGATGCATCTCTTTCAAAATTGGCTGTAAATTTTTAGGTTTACAGTTGAATTGATAACAGTTATACAATATTGTACTCCGAATAACCCCCATAAGATATAAAATTAAATGAAGTTTTAAACTTTAAAAAAGATCTCCATTTAATTATTAAAATACAGTTTCATACAGAAAAATTCATTTTAATACAATTGACACTACAATTCACATGTGTTTCTAATCTCTATATATCTGATTATTACTAGTCACACTCGGTTACTTTCTGAGCTCCTTGGCATCTGAGCATGGATATAAAGTCATCAGGTAGATTTCAATGGTAATGTTTTTCACATCTACTAGTTATTAAGGAGCAAATTTTTATGCTTTGAAGAATTATTTTTTTTTCTTTTTTATTTATTTATATACCCACTTCCCAGATGGCACCCTCCCATAGCCTCCCTCCCCCGACTAGAGCCCTTATACTCTGATATCCCTGCTACTGTCTGCTGTGTTGTCGGCCCCCCAGCCATTCCCCACTACTTGCCCTTCTGGTGAATCTAGTCAGCCTATCTAGAGGTCTTTGTTTTAGGAGGGTCAGCTGTTCCTCATAATACAGATTTTACGGTATGAAAGGGAAACATAATATAGGAAAGTAACATTAATGGAAATTATTGAAATAGGATATAAGGAGCCCAAATAACATTAATAATGTCATTAGTCACAATGCTTAGCCTGGAGATGTGGCTAAGTTGGAAGAGTGTCTGTCTAGCATACACTTGACCCTAGGTTTTCCCTAGGGTTTCCCATCACCACATAAAACCAGAAATGGTGGTACACTAGTGATCCCAGTACTCAGGAGGCAGGAGGATTAGGTCAATCAAGGTCATCCTCAGCTACATGGTAAATTTGAGACCAGCCTAGGCTACATGAGACCCTGTCTCAAAAAAAAAAAAACAAACAAACAAACAAACAAAAAACCCCAAAATCATCACAGTACTAAAAAAAAAAAAATGGAGTAGGGGTTAGAGGGATGACTCAGCAATTAAGAGCACTTGCTGCTCTTCCAGCAGACCAGAGTTCAGTTCCCAGCGCCCACACTGGGCAGCTCACAACCTGCATGTGACTCTGGCTCTGGGAGCTCTGACACTATCTTCCAGGAAAGATGTGAAGCAACAGCAGTTCATTTATTGCTGGTGTAGAGTGTTAACATGGCACAGCTATTCTGGAAGACTGGAAGATTCTCATAAAGATAAACACAGTCTTACCATACAACTGAACAATTGCACTCCTAGGTATTTAGCCAGCTCTTGTTGAGTTTTGTCCACACCAAAATAAATAAATAAATAAATAAATAATCCTACACATAAATGTTCAAGGCAGATTTACTCATAATTAGCCTAAGCTGGAAGCAACCAGAAGTTCTTTCAATATATAGATATTGAAACTGTGGTATGGGCTGTACAATGGAATACTATTCAGGAATAAAGGGGCTGTAATGGGCTGAGAGTGTAGCTCAGTTGGTAGAGTGCCTAGCAAACAGGAGGCCTTGACTTCAATCTCTGTCACTGCATAAACTGGGTGTGGTGGTTCACCTCTGTAATGCCAGCACTTGGGAGGCAGAGACAGGCAGATTTCTATGACATCAAGGCCAGCCTGGTCCATATAGTGAGTTGTAGGCCAGTGGGAGCCACAGGGAGACCCTGCCTCAAAAAGAAAAAGGAAAAAATAAAAAAAAAGAATATGGATGAGGATCAGGAGTGGTGGCACATGCCTATAGTTTCAGCACCTCAGGAGACTGAGGTAGAAGAATTTTAAGTTTGAGGACAACCTAGCAGCTTAGAAGGACTCTTTTTGAGAATAAAAATTAAAAAGGGCCAGGGATGTAATTTGATAGTAAAGCAGTTGCCCTGAAATCTGTCCCTAGCACAGGACAAAGGAAAAGATGACTCTTAAAATGCCTATTGCTAAGTAAGTAAAAGAAGCCAGTCTGGAAAGGCTACATAACTACAAGTACACTTTCTATGGAATTTTATAAATGATAAAACTAGAGCTAACAAGGAGATCAATGGTTGCTAGGATTTGTTGTTGCTGTTGCTGCTGTTGTTGTTGTTGTTGTTGTTGTTGTTGTTTTAGGGCGGTGAAAGTCTGCTGGATGGCATTATAATGGTGGCTATAGGACATCACGTATTTTTTTCAAAACCCATGGAATACATCTTACAGTATGCAGTTTTTAAAAAATTCATTCAAGAGGTCAGGGGATCCAAAGATGGATTGTAGATGATGATCAAAGAATCTAGCTGCATTGCGGATGTGCAAAATAATTGCACTGAAGGGGGTCGAAAGGAAAGGTGTTGACCCAAGTAACTTTGAAAATGAGTGTAAAACTAAAGGCAGAAGAGCTAGATTATAAACTCTAGTTGTTTAAGGTGTTTCCCATGAGCTCACAGAAACAACTAATCCTGTGATATATATACTGGAAGTCAACAATTAGGCAAATGAATGGTGGATTATGGAAACCAGACTTCTCTATGTTGGAGTCTGTATTACAGCTAAGCAGCGCAAGAAGGCTGAGACATTGGTGGGCCACTTGCATGGTTAGCTCAACAGTAATACAGACAGCTACATACAGAACTATTTGCAGATGCTATATACACACAGGCTGATACACACACATTCATTTCCTTGTTCTGTCACTTAAGAGTGCTGAGAAGTAATGATAAGTCAGTAGCTATAAGCATACTTGGGTCTAGATCTTTGTTTCGAGGGGGAAAAAAAGAACCCAAGCTCCCTGAATTCTAGAGGCATATTCTGATTCTAGGACAAAGGATATACAAAATGAGCCCAGAGCATCTTTTAGTACAGAAAGTTTACAAATAACTATTGCTTAGGTGGCCATGGTGGCACATGTTTAGAATCCCAGCACTCAGGAGGCTAAGGTGGCAGGGTGGTGAGTTCAGAGCCAGCCTGGGCTACACAGCTAGAAACTGTCATAACAGCAACAATAACAATAGTAAACCCCTATCAGGTTTAAGTCACTGTGACTTGGGTTACTGTTTCACGCTATGGAACCAAATCCTAATTGACACATAACCAATGATCATAAAAGAAGTATATTTGTGGGAGATTTCAAATGTATATATGCATTATCCTTAAGAAAAAACATGGGTAGGCTGAGGAGATGGCTCAGATCTTGCCACACAAACATGAGGACCCAAGTTTAATTGCAGCACACATAAAAAAGTTGGGCATGGTGGCACATGTTTGTAATCCTAGCTCTGGGCAGGTGGAGCCAGGTGAATCCTAGGGATTGCTCACCAGCCAGCCTAATCTAATCAGCCAGCCCCAACTCAGTGAGATAGCCTGTCTCAAAAAACTAGATAGACAACATCCAGGGTAAGGTTGATTTCTGGTCTCCACAGGCACATGCAGGATGGGTACACACACTTACATGTGCATAAATACACACATGTGTGCACACTCACACACACACACACACACAGAGAAACAAACAAAAGAATGTTGGAAGAGATAATATATATATATATATATGAGTGTCTCTCTATTACATCCTGTGATGAAAAAAACAAAAACAAAGTACATCCTGTGCTAACCAGGCATGGTGGTGCGTACCTGTAATCCCAGCACTTAAGAGGCAGATGCAGGAGGATTGAGAATACCATCATCTGCTACATACTGAGTTCAAGACCAGTCTGGAATATATGAGATCCTGTCTCCAAAACAAAATTAAATAAATAACCAACAGATGCCATATATAAGAGAAATGTTTATATTTTAAGCATAAGGATATGGAAGGATTGAAAGTTTTAAAACATTGGGTCTTTTAATGAAGCAAGCAAAGAACCAATAAGGCGGCTTAGTGGGTAAAGGGCCTGCTGCCGAGCCTGATTTTCTTTCTATCCCGAGAACTCACATGATGGAAGGAGAGAATGAACTTCTGAAAGCTAGCTTTTCACTGCATAAATGCTGTGGCATTCACAGACACACACACACAGACACACACACACACACAAACACACAAACACACACTACAATTAATAAAAGTGTAAAAAACAAATATCAAATAAATAGTACCCAAGGAAGAAAGTTGGTGCTGCTGTTTAATATCTAGCCAAATAGGTTTTAAGATGAGCAGCATTTTCAATGAAGAGAATTACATGATAAGTTCAGTTTATTATAGGGATTACAAATTCAAACCCTGATAGGCCTAAGCAAACAACTTCAAGACATGTTAGTCCAAAGCAGATGGCCCAACAGAAGAAATGCACACAGTGAGCTTCCCGTTTGGGCTGATCCCTGTTCCTCAGAACCAATCCACGGTTGGGCAAACCCCTTTAGATCCTCTTTCATGAACCACAACCAGGTCTGTTCACCTGGACAGTAGGGGTACTTTTACTGTTCCAATAGCTGTTTTCACACTTTGCTGAGATCAGCTTGTGGGGGACTCATTTTTATAATTCTCTGCAGTACCAAAGGTGGGACCCTAATTCTTTGTAACTGTGACCTGCTGTAGGAATGTGGCAGATCCTTTTACCTCTTTAGACCATAGTTCCCTGTGGGGTTCCCTTGAGGGGTTGGTCTGCAGTGCTTTGTGCTGGAATGTAATGTCAACCTGGAGTTCTGCCTGAGCACTGAGCTATCTGCTCCCTTCCACAGGTGGGGAACAGCAGCATAGCCTGGTCCCTTGGCTACATGCTCACCCTGACCAACCAGATCCCAGCTGGAAGTCCCCTGATCCGCCTGCCCATACAGCCTCCCGTGTTTGTGGGCATCCTGGCCTTCTTCACTGCCATTGCCTTGCTGTGCCTAGCATTTCTTTTGTACCTGTGTTCAGCATCCAGGACAAAACAGCGCTCTGAGAATGCCTTCGACCAAGCCGTGGATTCTGAATGAACCTTCCAAGCAGCTCCTGGAGCGGTGGCTGCCTACATTCCACCTGGATGATCCAGGCAGTGCAGGCAAAGTGTCCACCTTTCGGAAATGCTCTATGGTTAAATGCCTAGCTCCTGTGCTCGGATACTGGTTCCTGACAGAGCACCCCTTGGAGTCCCTCAACTACCCTGTTCAAGTTCACTACAGACACCTCCCCATCCACTTGCCAGTCTACAGTGGGGACCAAGGAGAGCCAAACAGTCAAGGTCAAAGTCTTCACTCCAAGTCCTCTAGATGAAGCTGAGAATATAATGATTTGATGTGGAGCATTAGCCTCAGGTCTCAGTTTCCATTTCTTCTCTCTTGGAATTCCTCCTAGCAAGACATACATGAAGACTTTGATTCAGCTCATTTTATGGCTTTTTCCTGTTGGTCCTTCTAAGACCCATAGGCACTGAACCTCTGAAGACTGGTAGGGTATAGTATATCTAGGGGAGGAGACTTTTTTGGGGGGGGGAGCCGGAGTCTCATGTAGCCCATGTTAGCCTCCAACTCACTATGTAGCCAAGGATGACCTTGAACTTCTGAGCACCCCCCACCCCCACCCCATCCCCGCCTCTACTCCTGAGTTCAGGGATTACAGGTGTCCACTACTACTCTGGTTTATGTAGTGCTGCGGAATGGAACTCACAGCTTCCTGCATGCCAGGCAAGTGCTCTACCAACTGAGTCACAATCCCAGCCCAAGAAGAAGACTCCTTGACCCCAAGGACAGTCAGCCTCTGTCACATAGGCAGAGCCTAAAGCACAAAGGCACATAGACATCCCAAAACACTGTAGCCATTCTCAGATTTCACAGAATGGAAGCCCCCTACCCCCACTCCCCATGGGCTCTGGTCATCTGATTGTCACCAAGTGAATACCATCATCCTCATGTCACCCACCATCTCACCAATGTGCCCTCTTCTAAATCACACACAGTCCCAAGAGGCGACTGCATTGTGGATCCTCTTACCCTGAGGCTCTTGCTCAAGGCTCCCTTTCCATTATCATTATGCCTGGCCACCTCTCCCACCAGTAAGACCATCCTAAGACATCCCAGTCTATGATTTGCTGACCAATCAGATCCTAGCTCATAGGTCTCTGCATGACCACTACAGGTCTTGACTTGGGAGAAAGAAAAGGCAAATGTGGGAATATTTGCCTCCAAAGTGGGATCAGAAAGAATTTCAGCAAGTCCAGCAGCTACAAATGACAAGTCACCATTTCAGATTGTTATTTGTTGGCTCAGTTTGGAATAAACTTTTTATTTTGCAACATGTGTGTTTATTAACTGAAGTATGATGATCTTTCTTTTAAGGATGCAAGGTGGTTGTAGTGGTGGTGTATGTACACACAGGCCTACATGTGGAAATCAGAGAACAATTTACTGGAGTCAGTTCTCTCCTCCCACTGTGTGGATCCCAGGAATCCAGCTCAGGTTGGTTGGTTTGGCAACAAGCACCTTTAGCCACTGAGCCACCTTGCTGCAGTCATTATGACTTTTTCATACGTATCTTGTTTTGATTAAGCCTCCTTTCCTGCTTTTCACCCTCATCTTCCTGGCGACCCCCTGCTAGTACCCTTCCGCCCCAGTGTGCCCCTTTCCACCTTCATATCTTTCTCTCCCTCTCTTTCCCTGTCAAGAGACTGGTTTTTTCCAGAGCATCTCCTGGCCTTCTTTCTAGTTTTATGGCCTATATCCAGCAAACTCCCCCTCCCCCACACACATATATTAGAAGCTAGGGGACTGGAGAGATGGCTCAGCAGTTAAGAGCATATACTGCTCTTGCAGAGGACCTGAGTTCAAATCCCAGCACCTACACTGAGTGGTTCACAACCACCTATAATTTCAGCTCCAGGGCATTTGATGCCCTCTTCTGGCCCCCACAAGCACTGCACTTATACTCAGATGCATATGCATGTAATTAAGAATAAAATTAAAATCTTTTCTAAGTTAGAAGCTAGCGGATGGAGAGATGGCTCAGTGGTTAAGAACAGTGACTGTTCTTGCAGAAGACCTGGGTTCGAATCCCAGCACCCACATGACAGCTAACAACTGTCCGTAACTCCTGTTCCAAAGGATCCAACAGCCTCTTCTGACCTCTTCGGGCATTGCACAACATGGGTGCACTTACCTACATGCAAACAATACATGCAAACACATAAAATAAAAAATAAATAAATAAAAGTTAGAAGCTAGGGTCCACATAGGAAAGAGACCTGTGGTATTTTCCCGAGTCTGGGTTACTTCAATATAATAATGTCCAGATTCATCCATTTTCCTGCAAAATTTGTAATTTTTCTTTTTTCTTCTTTTATTTTATTTTATGTGTATAAATATTTTGCCTGTATGCATGCAAATGCACTTGTGTTGTGTAATGCCCACGGAGGCCAGAAGAGGGTGTCACATCCCCTGGAACTGGAGTTACAGATGGTTGTTAGCCACCATGAGGGTGCTAGGGACCGAACCTAGATCCTCTACAAGAGTGGTTAGTGCTCTTAACTGCTGATCCATCTTTCAGCCCCAATTTCATTTTCCTTTATGACTGTATAAAATTCCATTATATGCATGTACCACTTTGTCATTACCTATTCATCTGTTGATGGACATCTAGGCTAGTTCTATTTCCTGGCTATTACGAACAGAGCAGCAATAAACACAGATGTGCAGGTGTCTCTGCGGTAGGATATAGAGTCCTTTAGGTGTCTGCCCAGGAGTGGTGTAGCTGGGTCATATGGTGTTTTATTTTCAGTTTTTTGTTTTGTTTTGTTTTTGAGCAACTTCATACTGATTTCTATAGTGACTGTCTATACAAGTTTACATTCCCATCAGCAACATATAAGGGTTCCTCTTTCAAGCCAGAGAGATGGCTCAGTGATTAAGAGCATGTACTGCTCTTCCAGAGGACCTGAGTTCAGTGACATCAATTAGCTCATAACCACCTTGAACTGCAGCTCCTGAGAAACCCAATCTCTCTGGCTCCTACAGGCACCTGCACTCACAGGCACATCCACACACAGATACATATACACATAATTAGACCTTTTTTAAAGAGGTCCTCCTTCCCTACATCCTAGCTAGGTGTTTGTTGTCCTCTCACAGAAGTAATTATGGGCAGCTGACCTTAAAATGGAAAACTTATGTAAGTAGGTCTAATCTTATTACACAGGCTCCTTCAAGACAGGGTGTTTCTTCTAGAAGAGGCAGTCAGAGAGATTCAGAGCCTGAGAAAGATTCCCCATACTGTTGTCAGCTTGAAGGGGCCATACGAAAGAAGCTTGACCATCAACCAAAACTCAGGGACTTCCACCCCACCAGGGACCTGGAGCTCTGGGGAGAAAACCTCGGGTAGATGAGTCATGGAGGTGAAGCCCTCCTGACAGGATTAGTATCCTGTGATGATAGGTGCCAGAGAGCCCCCTCTCAACCTGGACAGCAGAGGAAACACGGTGTGAGAATACAGCAAGACAAGTTGCTATCTGCCAGTCAGAAAATACACTCCACCGAGGAGCTAATCACAGATGTGTGCTGCCGTGCCTGGGCACACAAGGTCTTTAGCCTACCTGGAAAGAGATTTTAAAAACAGCACCAAGAAGGAATTACATCTCATTTTTTTCTCCATAAAGAGACCCAAATCTGGGCTGGTGAGATGGCTCAGCAAGTAAAGGTGCTTGTCACCAAGACTGACAAACCTGAGTTTGGTCCCTAAGTCTCACATGGTGAAAGGAAGAGAACTGACTCCTAAAAGTTGTTCTCTGACATGTGCCAAGGCACACACTTGCCCATGCAGGTAGGTACACATGCATACACACACAAAGAGATAAATGTAGTGATGACTTTATTAAAAAGAGATCCAATTCTTTTTTAAAAAAGATTTATTTTTATTTTCATTCACATGTATGCATACGTCTTTGCGTGCGTATGCCATATGTGTTTGGGTGCCTGAGGAGGCCAGAAGAGGGTGTCAGATCCCCTGGATCTGGAGTTACAGGCAGTTATGAACTGCCTGATGTGGCTGGGAATCCATCTCTGGAAGAACAGAAAACTCTCTCCCCTATGGGGCTGTCTCTCCATCCCCAAGAGATCCAATTCTCCCACATTTTCACACACCTCTGACGTATATCAGATGTCCATGCATGAATGGGTGTTCGCCTACAAAATCTAGAACCCAGCTTCTAATGCCACATATCAGTGTCTTTCAGTGAGACGGGACATGTGATGGAACTTGTCCAGGCCAGTGACTCAACTTAGTCCCCATCTCTGAAAACACACATTAGTGGCTGATACTGACATGTGATTTCACCTCTAAGTCCAGGCCTTTCTGACATGGCATTGTAAGGGACTCTTATATGTTGCTGATGGGAATGTAAACTTGTATAGACAGTCACTATAGAATCAGTATAAAGTTGCTCAAAAACAATTCGTGATGGAGGCCTTGCTATATCTTCACTGTACATTTCAGATATGAGCACTTGCTCTGGCTGAAGTCTTGGGGCTTGGGGTTCTTAACTGTATTAGTGTTCTAATAGCAATTTGCCCCAAACTCATGACTTCAGGCAATACTCATTTACTACAGTCCAAGGCTGAAATCACTGTATCACCTGGGTTGAACTCTAGTCTGACAGCTCTGGGGAAAATTTGTTCCATTCAGCTGTTAGCAGAACCTGGTTCCTAACCCTGGGGTTAGGGTTTCAACATACGAATTTGGAGGCCACAGTTATAGAATGGCAGGACACTTCAGGTGACATTTTATAACTAGGTAATGGTTTCAGATTTCCCTTTTTCACCCATTTATACGCTTGCTATAGGTCCACTGGACACCATAAAATAAAATTGCAAGCCAGGTGAGGTGGCAGGCAGGAGGCTGAGACAGGAGGATCAAAAAATTAGAGGCCAGCTTGAGACAGAGTGAGACTCCGCTCCAATGAATGAATGAAGTTACAGATCTAGGTTAACTCAAGGTTTTTTGGCCTTGCTAATTTGTGATCTCTTTGAGATGTCCTCAGATATGAAAAGGGGACAAGACTTCCTGCATAGGTCAGTTCAGAAAAGAGAAAACATGATGTTTGGCCAATGCCTGGTACAGAGTGTAACCAATAAATACATGTTTTGGAAGTATTTCTCTCACCCATTTGCTTATTCATTTATTTGTTCATTATATGTTCACTGAAAGTTAACTGTCTTGCCAATTATTGAGATAAACGTCCCGGGTTGCAGCAGAAGAAAGACAAACACCCCTGTGCTGCACATGAAGTTAGGACGCCTTCCGCTGGAGCCGGGGAGAAAGGTCTTCCCAGGTTGAATGTGTTTCTTCGGTTTGGCAATAGTAACTGTTCTCTAATTTCAAATGGTGAAGAGGGGGCTGGGAAAACAGTTCAGTCAACAAAGTGCTTGCCTTCCAAGCACGAAGACATGACTTCAATACCCAGAACCCACATATAAAAGCCAGGTGTGGTGGCACATCCCAACCCTGGGGGAGGCAGAAACAGGAGGATTCCTGGGTCGAACTGGCCAGCTAGCCTGGCCTAATCTGCCAGCCCCAGGTCCCAGTTGGAGACTGTCTCAAAAGACAAAGTG